GTGCTGTGGATTATTGTGATGTTTTTATCAGCTGTTTGTACTCTCATTCTGACGGCACCCATTCACTGCAGAGCAAGTGATGCAATGCTGCATATCTCCGAATCTGTTCCCATCAAGCCCGAGAGTAAGTACATTTTCAGCCAATTTTCATTTTTGGGTGAGCTATTCCAATTTGAAGTCCTATCTTTCAGAATGTGTGTTTGCTATGGCAGAGAAATGCGCGTCTGCTGCTTTATCCCCATGAAAAAGATGTTTTTCTCTTATCCCCGATCCTAAGATGTGTGCGGTGACCTGTATTGTCACTCCTCTTACTCAGTGCTGTTCAGTTTGAAGGAGTCCATGGCAGCTTTTTCCATTGTATATGATATTTTGCCTTTTCTGTCTGTAAATACATGTTGTTATGTTTGTTTACAACACAAATTGATAGCATTTTTAATTTATTGTTTTTCACTTCTTTCTGTCTATGTGAGAACTATGGATGGGGGTTGCATGTTGTACTGAACTGTAAAGGTGAATCTGACGCCAGTGTTTCAGGCGAATATTAGCGTTCTGTATTTCTAAACTCACTGCTGGTCAACGAATTGACATTGCTGTTAAAATAGGCTACAGATCACAATCGGAAATTAAATAATCCATAAAGATCTTTAAAACGACTGATCATACAGAACACTAATAGCGTAAATGTGCGTCTAACATAATAACCGCTCTATTTAAATATACTAATTATGAAACGGTTCATACTGAGAGTTGTTTAGCAGTGCATTTTTCTTGACTTTTGTGATTTTTCCCGATTAATATAAAGCTTGGCTGTAGTAATTGAGACATAGTTTGGAGTTAGAATCCATGTTTATATGGCACTTTACTAGAGTTCCTGCTATGGCAGAAGATCCTTTTGAAGCACCTTTATTTTTAAGAGTGTATTGTCATATGTGTATTTGAGAAGCTTTACAGAAAACTGCATGAATCTCACCAGTGAAAAGAAAAGAGCGTCTGTATTTTCTGCAGGTCTGCTTAGATAGCGTAGTTTCTAATAACAGCAGTGAAGATACTGCAGAAGAGCCTGAAGAATTCATGCTATGAAAATCATCTACAATATTATGCAAAACGTTTTTAGAATTAGTCCGAAACCATGAAACTGCTCTGAAAGTTGTTTTCAAAATTCAGTCCCTTTATTGCATTTCTGCTTTTTAAACCAATGAAAACATGTTGATAAAAAAACAGCAAATGCACAAACATTAGTGGAAAATGATATTGTTTTGAAAGACTGACAGTAAATAAAACACAGTAGATTAAACTAAATCGAATTATGACACAAGCTGAAACTCAACACGTATCTAAAGTATCACAGAATAGCTGCTTATTTAGCGCCGCTTTGAGTCGTTTACAGTCAAACCTAAGAAATACTTATTTCAGTTAGAAAGTTTAATTAGAAGAAACACAAACTGTACAAACACACCAGCCTGATCAGCGGTGTGCGACTCTTCTCTTTGGTTTCACTGTATCTTTAGATTCTTTTTACAGTCCAAGAAAATCAATCTTTTAACTTCAACTCACTTCTCAAATAGAGCCTCGAGAGTATTCTTTACACCTACATTTATAGCACTTCTGTCTTCACATCCTATTTATGGTCTATGGTTTTCTATCCAAGTTTGGACAATATGTCATATATACTTGCATCAGACATTGAATGGCACTGGAGAGCCATTTGTAGAATAAAAATGAAAAATAAACAAAGTTCAGTAAGAAAACATTCGCTACACAAAACACTGAAATGATACAAAACGGGTCCCTGTTGAAATCCTAGAGGTCACGGGGTCGTTCAAGGTTCTCATGTAAACCGAAGGCAATATTGAATAAGTTTTGCATTGCGATCAGGTTACGAGTCGTCAGAATGCTTTGAAATCACTTGTGAATGGACTGTCCTTCTCTTTAGTGGCACGGGTCAAAGGGGTATTTGGTGACCCCGCCGTGCAGCTCCACCACTGACTCCGCCCACGCGATGATGTCACCGGTCATGTGACCTCCACATGAGGCCAGGCTGTAGATGTCGTGTGGCGTGAGAACATGAGACCACATCTGAACGTCTGCGATGTCTCCAACGAACGCCTGCGTCGCGTCGAAGCGGCCACCCAGTGTGTCCTGGGAGAAATGGGAGGGAGATTGGGGAATATTATATTAGCAGCACCAAACCGATTCAGCTGACAATGAGTTTAGTGTCTTATATGCTTGGTTTCTAAGGCAACCACTTCAACATCTTTATACATAAAGTCAACTCTGAATACAGCTTAACTGGCTTATTAATATAGTATATGACTTTCCTTGTGAAAAAGAAGTATGCTTTAGCATAGTTGTAAAAAAGAGTAGGCTATTTATTATGGAAGTAATATACTTAAGTGTAAACTGAATGTAATGTTTTAGACAATTGCAAGTTATTTACACTATATTAAATGCAATTAGCTGAACTTAGAGTGTTTTTGACCCACTTAAGTACATCTTTATATGTAATTTCATAATGACTTCTATTGTCTTTGAAATATGGTTAAAGTGTTACTGCTGAATGCACTGACAAGCATTTATAATATGCTAAAATATACTTTGATGGCATTTCGAACTTATATGTCATGTATTTAAATATATTCAGAATTACACAGTTGTAAAAATGAAGTTGCAATTTAGTACATTTAAAATGTATTAACTTTAAATGTATGTAAAACCCTACACACTGTAGAATACACTAAATCAGGTACTTTGCATGTGTATGTCAACATTGAAATGAAAATAGGTGTACTTCTTTAAAACATGACAAAACATTATTAAAACATACTGATTTAAAATGTGCTTTAAAGAAAACATAGTTTGATATTATAACAAAGAGCACATTTTTAGAAGTGTACACAAGTGTGTTAAAAAAATGCCATTAAAGTGTCTCTCTTTAAGTGGCATTTCATTAATATATGTGTCCCTGGAGCACAAAAGCAGTGTTAAGTCGCTGGGGGATATTTGTAGCAATAGCCAACAATACATTGTATGGGTCACAATTATACATTTCTCTTTTATGCCAAAAATCATTAGGATATTAAGTAAAGATCATGTTCCATGAAGATATTTAGTAAATTTCCTACCGTAAATATATTAAAATGTAATGTTTGATTAGTAATATGCATTGCTAAGAACTTCATTTAGACAACTTTAAAGATGATTTTCTCCAAATATTGTCCTATCATAACAAACCACACATCAATGGAAAGCTTGTTTATTCAGCTTTCAGATGATGTATAAATCTCAATTTCGAAAAATTGACCCTTATGACTGGTTTTGTGCTCCAGGGTCACATATTATCTACTGTTAAGATTTAAAGATTTTACACTATAAGTGGTCTTTCAATGCAATTAAGCGCACTTCGCAAGGGTTTAAATATCTATCAGTGCTTTTGCCGCAGTGTTTGGGTGTTGTGGATGGTTGCCAGGGTGTTGCTGTGCAGTTGCTAATGTGTTGATGTTTTTTGATTAATGAGGAATATGAGCAGAATCTGCGTTTGATTGATTGTATACTGTGTCTGTATGTTACCTGTTCCTGTCCCAGTATGAAGACTCCTCCAGGTTTGATGGGATGCCAGGGCGAGAGGTTTTCTCCTGAGCCTCTCTTCACTCCATCCTGATAGGCCTCCCACAGGCCGTCCCGCGTCGACCACGTCACACACACATGGTGCCATTTACCATCATTCACCGAGAGCGGTAAAGTCATGGCCTGTCAACACACACAGAGAGAGAGAGAGCGAGATCACACAGAATTCCCTTAAGAAACGTTGTGTTCTGTTGTCTCTCTCCTCTTATTTCACCATCTGTCCTTCATTTGTCTGTCAGAAAAATCCTTAAAGGGATAGTTCGCCCAAAAATGAAAATGTGATGTTTATCTGCTTACCCCCGGGGCATCCAAGATGTAGGTGACTTTGTTTCTTCAGTAGAACACAAACGGAGATTTTTAACTCAAACCGTTGCGGTCCGTCAGTCATATAATGCAAGTGAATGGGAATCACGGCTTTGTGAGTCAAAAAACATACACAAACAAAACCAAATTAAACCCTGCGGCTCGTGACGACACATTGATGTGTAAAGACACGAAACGATCAGTCTGTGCAAGAAACTGAACAGTATTTATATTGTTTTTTACCTCTGATGCACTGCAATGTCTGAACTGTCCTGAGCGCGTCCTCGACAGCCGATGTGTCGTCTTCTTGCTTTACGGCGGATCGCAGACTTATAAGTGCATT